GAGTAACGTCTGAAATTGAATGTCTATAAAAAACGAGACATTGAAAAAAGTGTTGAAATCGTTTGGAAAGGGAAAACAAATTTGTCTGTATGTTTGCTCACGAATGACTGTTTGGACGATTCTGCCGTGCCTTATTGTTTACTCAGAAAGGGAAAGTTATGACCAGAAATTAGCGTTTGTGATGCTGTTAGCGGCCACTCTCGTTACACCAGCTTACGATGTTTGTATGTGGTTGCACAGTGGTTGAAGTTCGCTCAAATATTGGGCACATTTTCTTGCGACCAAACGGTTACTTGTATAACCTAAAACTAATCGATATAGATATGGAGTTATGTAAATACCTCACATTTCAATAATTAGGATGACGAGGTGAGTGGATTCCGTGTGTCTATCAGTCAAACCATCTGGTGCAAGTAACCTTGGTAAGCATTGAGATATCTTGATGATGGCACCCAAGGCGGGTCTGACGGGAGAAATCCGATCATTCTCATGCCTACAAAACGCCATTAATTGAAAACCTACAAAGTACTATAACTAAACTACAAATTGAAATAAATAACCGTTATTTCGCACAAGGTATCGCATTTCTAGAATGTGGTCGTGGTTTAAAAATGTTAAAATTCCCAAAAATGCAATAACTCAGTAAGAAAATGTTTCAGAGACATTAAATTTTATCCGCAAGTTTTAAGGGAGCGAGTATAAAAATTTAACATTCTACATGGCACCGTCCAAATTTTGCTGAAATCCTATACCTCAGGAACTGCTTAACCTAGTTTAATGCATACCATTATTTAGGTATTATTCGTTATGTTGTCGAGATGAGCGTAAACGGAAAACAATCACGCCTGCTTATCATGTGTACCTCTGTCAAGAAAGTATCGGGATTTATAAATACAACGAAAATTTTTCAATCATCATCTAAATTTATTTTATCGCCTTCAAAGTAACATCCATTTGAAGCGATGCACATATGAAAATGCTTCTCACAATCGTCAAAACATTTTTTATGGGCACTTTCCGGGATGGCCTTCAGCTCTCGTGTAAAATTTATTTTGATGTCGTCAACTGTGTCGAAGCGTGTTTCCCGAAGTGGACATTTCAGTGTGGAGAAAGGTAAAAGTCACAGGGGGCGCATATCAGGTGAATATGGTGCTTACTCAATGATATTTGACACTACTGACATAAGCAGCTGCTGTAAACACACTGATTGACAGATCGCGCTAATATTTGGTAGCATAGTTAACAGTTGTATCAACCCTGTCTTAATGTACATACATAAAGTATATCGGTAAATATCGAAGTTGTCTTAGCAAAATTAAGAGAACATATATTATTGGCTACACTTTTGATAAATAATCGGGTTTGGTGATGAATATTAATTTGGATTGGTATAGAAAATAAGTTTTCTTTGGATAATGGATGTTGAATTTCTACGTAAAAGGTTTGAAACTTGTTTTCATTTGGACTGTATTCACAGTGGTAATTCTAATGTGAGACATATTAAAACAAACCAAACCCACTAGGTCACTATATGCTAAACCACACTTACTAGTATTTATCGTTTGCAACCATTAATCATCTTTTATTTTATTCTTCCGAATCAATATTACTGCAATCGTCATCTCTATTATAAGTGCATATGCACTTTTGTTCCACAGTGACTCATCTTCGCTTGGCTTAACGGATGTCAATAGATTGTGCAACGAAACGATTTTCTTTAATTAACATTTGGCGAATTAGCATTGGGTGTTGGTCTAAACGATGTCCGTCATGCGTAGGTATGTATGTATTTGCGGTGGACAGCTTTGTTTCGCTGTTAACGATGTGAGAGTTCAACATAGTCTACTATTAAACAATATTAATTTAGCAGTAATAACACTCGTGGTAATAAAAATGTTTATGCAAATTCAAGTCTACAAAATAGACAAAGCTGGCTCTTAACACAACACTCATAAAAACCAACACACAAGTATTCACGAATAATTACTATTTTTAATTTTTTATGCGGTTTGTGTACAGTGTTTGATAAAAACACAAAAAAAAATAATTTTTATTGAAGGAAAATACATAATTAAAAAAAATAAATGCTGTCATAACAGGAATTTTACGCTCATATAGTGTTTGCATAATTAAAGATGCATAGTGCAAACATCACTTTGAGTTAGTTTGACAAATAGTTTTAATTACTTGCTAACATCAAAATAAAACAAGAAAAAGCGTTAACTTCGGTTGCACCAAATCTAAACTACCCTTCACAAATAAAAAAGTTTTTCACACAAGAGCTTAATTTTGATCGTTCAGTTCGTCTGGCAGGGGTTGAGAAAAATGATCAGCTTCTTGAAGAAAACTGGACATGTTCTGAATTTCAGAGCGATATCTTAAAAGAATATAGATTAGTTGACATATATACTGATAAACGGACATGGTAAAATCAATTCAGTTCATCGTGGTCATCATTTATTTACATATCCTTAGAAGTGTTGCAAACTTCGTGGCTAACTTATTTTGCTCTGTTAAGGGTATAATAATGCATTTACTCCAAATTTGAGAAATATTCCAATCATATTTAGACAAGTATAATGAAGATAATCGCAGACAAGAATGTTTACTGATATAAATGGAAACGGGTTTAAAATGTTTAAAAAGAATATCATATAACAAAAACTCATAGTTATAAATTATGGCACAAAGTAAAGAGAACTATATACTCAATTTCGAAAAACTTCCTTAGTTAGTTATTGCAGTTTTGAACTGCGAAACATCTGAGTTAGGAGATCAAAGAAAATCAAGAGTTAAGTTCGGGTATAACCAAACATTTCATACTCTTGCAACAAAGCCACGGAACTATCTTAATGTATATCAGGCTGGTTAGTTATATGCCTCTATTATTTATATATATATGTATATTTAGTTATTTCAAATTAGATACATTAGAAACTAAATACAAATAAATCTTTCAAGACTCGTTTAGAACTGAATACGGCGGTGGGGTAATTTACAAACATGATTCATGAAGTAGATACTCATCAGTCAAAAGTGCAAGAAAAAGTGGCAAGCGCGTGATGTTTAGCAGATAAAAGAAAGTGCAACACATCATCAAGCCAACTTCAAAATTGCTCGTAATATATAAAAAAAACGACAGAGTTTAAGAAGTCTGGAAGCATTGTTCCAAAACTTGGACAAACCTGAAAATATTCCCTCCTCTTACCGTCCTATTAGCTTGCTGGTGACATTTTCCAAATTATTTGAAATAATACTTATGAGTAGATTATTACCAGTTTTGGATAAATGCATTTTAACACTATACAGCAGTTTAGGCTTAGGAGAAATCATGGAACTCCAGTGCAAAGCCATCGTATTTAATTAATATAATTATAAGTAGATTCGAAAGGAAACTATATTCTGCTGCAGCGTTTCTTGATACACAACAGCCATTTCACCGAGTGTGGCATCCAGGCAGGGGCGGATCCAGAGTAGAATTTTATGTAAGAACAACATAATTTTGTACTTGATTTGAGAAATGTGTAAGTGCGGACTATAATTTTATGTTTGATTCATATTTCAACATTTATTTCACAGAATAAATCAGCACGGTACTTGCGCATTTTATTATGATTTTTGTGGCTTGGTGGAAATAATGTAAAGCTTTTTACTTTTGGGGGTGAACTCTCCCGCAGTTACACCAGACTCCACATCTACACTCACACCACTTTACTTTATTTCTTCTTCTAATCAAGTTTCATTGTATTTCCGCCATCTAACCGTTTTCTTAAGAGTGAAAGTAAATTTATACTAAATTATGCTAAGTTTTAGTGAGCTCTTTGATTATTTAACGAAAAGAAAAGTAAATAAATATTCAATATTTCCTCAAAGCACAATAGAAAACGAGAAAGAAATTTTTAAATCATTTTAAATATGTACAATAACAATAACGAATATAATAGATAAAAATAAATAAAAAAATACACAACGAAGACGTGCAAAAGGAAAACAAATCAACAAATTACACAAAAATCTTTGGAAAAATGTCAACATTAAAAGATTAAAAAGCAGAACAAAAAGAACGTTGGTGGACATACCAAATGTATCTTATGAATTAACAAAAACAAGTATCAGCGTAACAAAATATACTAACAAGATAACTTTCACCGATTTCTTTAAAAACCTAAAATGATGCGCTGAGTTATCCAACGAGCCGGCAGAAGACATGCTGAACAGATCGAGAGGAGGTGAAGTAAGGCAGTGGCAACCGGGTATGCTGAAGTGTGATACAAAAATCATGCGAACCTGTAGTACAGATGTACGTAGATATGCACACGTAATACTGTGAATCGTGGGTAAGCGGAAAAAAATTATCAGCAATCTGTTCGAACACATCCAAAACAACACCAACGTTGCACTTAAAGAACAACACACAACGTACGAAGATAAGTAAGTGGCTGGTGGATGACCGAGGATATAGGGTCTAGTGGGTAATACGAGTGTAATCAACGACAACAATATAATCATTCGTGGCCATGCATCAAACATAATTAAAAAAGTATGTCGTCAATCTTGTCGAGAATTTAAAGTGCTAAACTGTCTCAATGCTTTAGCGACGGCATAATGCTAAACGATTGGTCATTGGTAAAAGTCCAAACGAAAACTACTATATATTATAATTTGTTAAATATTAAATATCGCAGTGATTTTGCGAATAGATATAACGTGTTCCAGGTATTTTTATTCCAAAAGGAATACGAGCTTTGAAGCAGCTTGCCAACTGTTATAAAAAAAAATAAATTGTTTAAGTGAGAAAGTATGCTTAGAGTAAGACTCATGTCTATTAGTATGATCTTTATATGTTTTGAAAGTAAAATGGGCACGATTAATTTTTAATATTTTGTTTGTTCTAACTTCTTTATTGCGTTAGCCTTCTACTATTCTGAATAATTTATATAAATAAGTAAGTGTTGTGGAGTATACCATATATAAAATAAATAATTAACAGCTAACTAATATGTTCTATGTTTTTATATAAACATACATATATGGTAATTACTTAAAATGTATTCATTGATTTTAATTTACATTTACTCAGCGAGCTTTTGATGCCAGCCGCGATAGGGCAATCGTAACGGATCATAACTGCTGCGTCGGCGGCGCATGTGATGATGGCCTTCTCCGCCGCTGAGATACTGCACACTGTGACTGCTTTCATGACCACCATGCATTAGAGACTTCATGCCCATAAGACCGGCCAACATAAGAGCAGTCATCGCCACCCCGAGCGCCTTCAAAGCCATTGCTCCAATGCCGCCCAAGCTCATGACTGCCATCATCTTGCCAAACATCAGCGCCATGGCCAAGATCACACCTTGTCCTTTGTCTTTCTTGCGCGCTTCTGTATATGTATGTATGAAAAAGTCATTATAAAATTTTAAAGCAAGTAATATAATTTATCTGAACTATTAATGTATATAACGAGTACATATAACTTTACCATCGGAAAAATCACTCTTAACATGTCAAATAAACTGAGCATATACATATGATTTACCTACTTTGCAAATGCTCATAAAAACATCTAGAGCTTCTTAGGGCGTACACTTTAGTATATGCCTATAATTATTTTAAGTTGCAGAGAATATTATATTTTTAGTGGTTGTCTTAAAATTTCTGCTATTATGCCTATATAATGGGGGTTTTTTTAGACATATGGTACTTTTTCGGAATTGACCTTTTTGACAGCAATTATTTGATTTTATACTCTGTTTTGTTTGCCATTTCATTATGAACAAACTTACTCCGAAATACCTTTGTATGTATATCGTGCAAGTTTATTACCAGAATGACAGTTCGGTTCGAGCAGCGCCATATGTGATAAAGCTTACCTTTGGTTGAATGGGTACATTAATAACAAGTCAGGAAGAACTAGGTTGGGGTATAAACGACCATTTCGTACGGTACAGGAAAGGACCGTTAATATCTTTTTCATAATGTCTGTTGGTTATACGGGGTCTGGGGCGATTTTTCACCCGATTTTATTAATTTTAGGCACAAATTATAAAAACAAACTCTCTCAATTTTATTAAGATAACTCACATATTGGCCGATATATAAAGTATATAATGCGTCGAGTTTTGTTATATGGGAAGTAGGCGCGGTTGCAGTCCGATTTAAATTAGGTTGAAATCGGTTAGGCGGGATATGTGTTTTCACGTCAAATTTTAACCCCGGTTTTATTAAATACCATCTCGCGAGTAAAATGTAATGCGAATTTAGTTAATGATTTATCGCGCTTTAAGTAGTATATAGCAGTACCCTACACCGTTCACACCCTTTATTAAACTAGAAACATCTGAATCTGCGACAGATATATCATGTAGAAATAATGTGAAAATGTCTCTGCGTTGTATTTCTTAAAAAACCATTTAAAGTTTTAAATATCAAATAAAGTATTTTTTTTTTTTTTTTACTTGGGACGCAAGAAGAGTATATAGGGATTGTTTTATATTCGTGGTCTCTAATAATGACACTTCTCCTCTCAAGACTTATAATGCGTCTTTGTAGTTCCAAACTTCTATGGCATTTAAGTCAGTTCAAACAGAATATGTTTACTTTTTAACTCTGGATATATAGAGTACAATATTAGTCATCAAAAACCACTTTTCTTTTGTAGGAAAAAAACTGTTAATAGTAGATATTGGGTAGTCTAAAAAGTCTTTTCGTATTCGGGGAAGCTGAAAATAATTACAGCTGTTCAAAAAGGAATGAAAATAATGAAGAAATTTGCTATATTTTGAAATTTTTACATAAAAAGGGAATGCCAATCAAACCACCAATGAAATTTATGAAGTTTACAAAGACGATGCTGTATCAGTTCGAGTAGCAGAACAATGGTTCCCTCACTTCCGTTCTGGAAATATTGATGTGAAAGATGCACCTGACTCTGGGCGATCTATCGTTGAAAATGTCGATGAAATTATGGAAAAGATTGACCAGGATCATCAAATAAGCAGCCATGACATCACTTAGGAACTTAACATTCTTCTCTCATACATTCTTATTAACATTCTATTCTCATATTATTATTATTATTATTATTATTATTGTTAAAAAGGAGCTCGATGTTTGGTTAGGTAGCACATGAGTTGTGTGTGAAAAATTCAATAGACTGAATTAACATCGCCTCGAAAGGTTATGCTGAGTATTTGGTTGGATTGGAAAGTAATCATCCACTATGAGCTATGAGCTGCTCAGCCAGGTCGAACGATTGATTCTTCTTTAAACTGTCAACAACTCATGAGATTGAAGCAAGCAAACGAAAAAAACGTCCAGACCTGGTAAACAGAGACGGCTTCGTTTTCCATCAGGGCAACGCTAGACACACAAATCTTTGATGAATCAGCAAAAACTGGGACAGCTTCGAGGGGAAGTTTTAGCCCTGCCTTTGCCATTTATAAGCGGTTCATTTAAGTTCTTTATAAATAAAAAAAAAAAAAAAGTTGGAATTTGATTAGAAATACAATACGAAAAGACTTTTTCGACTACTCAATATTTCTTAGAAAGGAGGAAAGTATGAACGCTCAAAGTGGGAAGTATGTGAGCTCACAATAGAGACAATGAGTCACTTTTTTTAATTATCACGTTAAATATGGCAGCTCATTATGTGAAAAAAAAATGGCAGTCGACTGACTAGATGAGCTGGCGAACCATACCAGATGTATGCGGATACTTGATCCTCAATAACCCAATTACATCTCTTTTTCTTGAAATTTATTTTTTTTTTTTTTTTTGCTTTGTGCAGGTTAGATTAGGTTAAGAGGTGGATCTTAAATTACGCAGCTTTGAATAATGGTCACTTTTGGTGAATAAAACTCATGGAAATTTTACCTCACCCTTCTGTATACAACCTACTTGCGTCCGACAAAAGAGTTTTTGGTTTTTATCACATGAATACCTATTGAAGGTCAAAAGATCTTCTGTGGTTTGCGCAACACAGAACAAATCATTCTTGTGAAGGGTTAGGTGATAATAGTTTAACGGTGTTATGCGTATTTCAAACCCTCAGGCAACAAATATTATATTAACTTTACTTAATCCTGCACATCTTATAACCTAACACACACCTTGAACACCATCCCCTTTAGCGTTTCGCTCCATATCGTATGACAAATAACGTTCACTTTCGTCGGCTAGTAAATCGGCGAATTTAATATTCAATTCATGACTGCGCAAATAATCCGAGACATAGCCCAAAAAGGTGTCATCACTCTCCAAGGCAGGCTCCGCGGCTACACCGTTTGAAACTTGCTCAATTGGTACGATTTCTAGACCACGCATCAACACCAACGGTTTATCACGTCGATTTAAATTCTTAATTACGTTGCGAAAGGCGCGAGACCCACGACAATAAATTGAGTCCGAGTTTAATGAATTGGTGAGACAGTTTGCCGCTTTATAGGCAGTGTCGCTGGGACGCGGGGTGCTTTCGATATTTTCACGAGTTGGCGTAGCTAGAAAAGTATCCGTACCGGGTGTGGCATTAGCTCTATCTTCGGCTGCTAATATAGCGATTGTAACGCGTGCACCATAAAGTGCGACAATTATTAATACGCAGGACAAGTAATTAAGCAGACGCATTGCGAGCGTGTTATGAACTAAATTAAGGAAGACAGAAGTTTCGTTTAAAATTCAGTGCGACCGACACCGTTTCGACAGTAGAACTAAACCGTGTGCAAGGTCTTACTCTAGATTTTATAGAAACTTTCCAACTGCAATCCTATTCCACCGGAACGCTGTGTGGCCGCATAAAGAAACATTCAAGCAAAACGAAAGTCTGCGTAATTACCTGCTACAATTCTCCTCTCGAAATTATACCGCAAAGAAAAATGAAATGGAAATGAAAGGCTTTGGTCAACCTCCAATCACCCAAACCATTTCAAGCGCCCACCGACGTTTACTCCGTTTTTACGAGCACTAATTCTTCTACTCCCTGCAGTGTAATTTTCCTCTTGAGTGGATTGGAAAGATTTCCCATTTTAAACGCTTAATTGGCTCAACTTCTTACACACGCACACATATGCATTTGTATTTTCACACACATGTTCAGCCACGAAATGAATACACCAAGAAGAAATGTTTTCATTTCAAGGTCTCAGAAATAGCTGCTGTGCTTGCGTGTGAAGTGTAGAAAATTAGAGGGGTCGGATAACGTTTGGAAAGATATGACATTGATAATTGCACCAAAGCTTTTATTGCTATGCAGAAGCCACTGGTCTACTAAGTGGCATGTATTAGTTGAAATGCTATTCTTTATTAGCAAATGATAGTGATGTGGTTGCTACTTTTGTCTAATTCGTTATTTACCTTAAGGCAACAATCACTGTTTTACCAAAATACAATTTGTAACGCCCGCAAGGAAATGTCCATAATATAGATAGTATGAGTGCGTTAAAAGTTGAGTCAAGCTTTTGAAATTAAGTTGTAATATTGTTGCAAAATGTTACTTCAGAGTATTATGGCTTTGTTCACGTAACGGTAAACTAATATAATATAAAAGATTAGGAGGACGAGACGAGTTCCAATCTTGGAACACGTGTTCCTTGGGGACTAATTCATAGATAGGCCTAAGCAGACCACTGCCACGTCTACAAAACGCCGTTGATTGAAAATCTTTGAAGTTCCATATTATTAATATTATTATAATATTTGTGTATCCCATATACCTAATTGAAGGATTTTCAAACTTCAACTTAACTTGTATACATCGCAAATGTGTGAGTTACTTTAATAAAACTGAGGGAGCAAACTTGCCTTAGACCCCATATAACTTACAAACTTTATGCTCCTGAAGGTTGGCTAGAAAGAACAAGCAAAACGTTTCATGCTCACTGTTAGTCGTCTAGATATTTAAATAAGAAATTCACCTGTGTAGGCTATTTTAGCTGCGATATAGGCGAAGCTCCCTTTTTTTTTTTTTTGTATTTGTTGCATACGATGAACAATATTTCCAAGCACTAACCGTTATTTCTAACAACATAAATTTATTAAATTAGCTGATGAATCCACTGTTCGTATTTGTGTTTGCCATGTTCGTCCGTCTGTCCACTCTTCTGTTTAAATAATTCGGGTAGGTAGTAATAAGTAGGTAATGAAATTTTGAACCTAAACGTTGTGCTTATCTGTCTGTAAACATTAAAAAATAATTTTTATACAATAATTTTCTGTAGACAAATTGTTCTTGAATGCTAAGGCCAATAATTCTCAGAAGTATCAAAGCAGGAGAACGATTCCGCCTTCTCTTTTATTTCTGTAAGTAGATGCCTACCGACTCACACTATCATACGGCCAGTAGTGTCGATAAGTTTTTTTCCCGGTTTTTCCATCATCTTTAGCGAGGGACGTATTCATCGACTGGAAAATGGCGTCCGACACGAAAGTTATGCACTGATGTCGGTTTAAGTGTTTGTCTACTTTATTGTTCATGGTTTTTATGGTCCCACTCGGAATAAGTAGTTGGCTTAGACGGCCCCAAATATAGTATATTAGGTTTTACTTAATTCGCAGCTTGCGTGTATGGGTGGGCGGGCGAACAGTATATAACTCCACATCTACCTCGATTAATAGTCTTTATAACTCCAAGTCGTCTAGAGTAAATACACGTGTTGGTGCTATAAATAGACTCATTAATAAAGCATAATTTATCTTACTTTCCCTCTATCAATAATTGTTTGACATACCCAATATTCAAATACCATCAGAGATCAAGGGTTTCTCAAGTTAGTCACCACACATCACATAAAGAAATGACATTAGTTAAAAAAAATGTTGGCTACACGGCTTATGTAATGCTTTCTAAGTAGTACACTTCAATTAGCGAAATAGCTCTGACACAAATGAATTTGTATATTTGTGCAAACGAATGTCTATGAATGTAACAAATGTACTAAATATCTTTCTCGAAAAGAATTTTTAAACCGGTTTTCATATAACTGAAAAATAATTCCTAAAACAAGTATCCGTTTAGGTCTATGTTGGCTTTCAAATAGTTCGGAACTTAATTTTGATGTTGGTGCCAAGTTAGACAAAATTTTACGATTTTGAAGTTATGACTGTCAACAGTGACCTGGGTACCTAACGGCGCAGGTGTTGAGGTCAATGATATCAATATCATCGGCGTACACCAGCGACTGTACACTTTTATAGAAGATGGTACCTTCTCTGTTTATTTCGGCAACTCGAATTATTTTATCCAGGGGTAGATTGAATAAGCCCCACGAAAAGGAGTCGCCTTGTCTGGTACCTCGTTTGGTATGAAACGGCTCAGAGAGGTCTTAATGCGATCCTGATGTTGCTCAACGCCACTTTACACAGCCGTATTAGATTTGCAGGGATAACAAATTCAGACATAGCGGATAAAGGCAGCTCCTTTTCGTGCTGTCAAAAGCAGATTTGAAATCAACGAAGAGACGAAGAAGTGGTGCGTGTCGATTCTCTTTTCACTGTTTTATTTGAAGATTTGACGCATGGTGAATATCTGGTCGGTTGTTGGTTTTACAGGTGTAAAGCCACAATGATGAGATTCAATTATTAATCGAGACACTGATAAGGTCCAATCAGCTTGTTGACGGTGGGCTCTCATCTTTCACACAATACGCTCGATAGCACCTTATATACGACGCTGAGGAGGCTTATCCCACGGTAGTTGGCGCAGATTGTGTCCCTTTTTATGGATTCGGCAAAGCACAGTTAAATTCCAATCGTCGGGCATGCTTTCGTCCGGCCATATTCAACAAAGAAGTTTATTAGTTATTTGCCGCCATGCTTGAATAGCTCGGTCGAAAATCCATCAGACGCCGTCGTTAAAAGGAAAAATATAGGTTTGTTTTTAAGCGTAAACTATTTACCAGGTTAATTAAAGGTCCATGACTACTTCCTTACGTTAAATTTAAATCCCCTCTGAGGTATTAAGGCCGTTTTAAGTTCCAGTAATAAAACTTGTAAACTGAATTTAGAATATGAGCAACCGCTAATGTCAAGACTATATAAGTATCGAATTCCTCATTTCAATACATTTGAAATATTCTTCTTAAAATTATGAAAGTACAGTCCTCTCTCAGGGATAACTCTGTCACCTTGATAGAATAATTAATTTTGTAGATTTTAGTCTTACAGCTCGACTCTAAATCACTATTCCTTAGTCAGTCAAAACTATGACATAAATTCCGAACGTCGCTTTGCGGATGCGCAATTATTATGTCTGTATTATTATATCTACTTGTAACCAATGTCCATACTGGGTCTCACTTATGTACTTCTCTACTATTTATTTTTGCCGTTTTATATGAAGTAAACATTTACTCACAGCGGCTATGCTGGCTAGGTCATGTTGTCCGAATGGACGAAACACTCCAGCTCTTAAAGTGTTCGACGCTGTACCCGCCGGGRGAAGCAGAGGAATGGGAAGACCTCCACTCCGTTGTAAGGACCAGGAGGAGAAGGACCTGGCTACACTTGGAATATCCAATTGGCGCCAAGTAGCGRAAAGAAGAAACGACTGGTGCGCTGTTGTTAACTCGGCTATAATCGCGTCAGCGGTGTCTACGCCAATTAAGAAGAAACATTTATGTGGATTCCAAGTTAAATACTAGATTTTATTATTACTCATTCTACCGATCTTAAAGATATCAGCAGGAAAGAGACATTTACTACAGGTTGAAATCCGAACAAAATACATATCCAGAATAAAACGCAGTCCTAAACGCTGACCAGGGCACTACAGTGTCTTCCATGAAGAGACAACAGCAATTAATGAAAGCTTTCCTGTTCTGGCACTGAGTGTGCTCACAACAATAAATATATTTATTACTTATTCAGAATGCCTTGATTGATGGATCTAATGTCCTATTTCACAATAAACCTGCAATGTGTTCCAGTACATAGTGATATTCCGGGTAAATGTGAAGCAAATGAACTAGCCAGAGTGGACACCACCCTACAATTAGACTCCAAAAAAGGCGGATATGTAGGCATCTGGATTCTTGGAAACATGTTTCAAGTATAACTGAGTTTCAGTGGAATCAAACCATAACTTGCTCAAAAGCAGAAACAAACAAGCAAAAGCGGCATGAATGGAATATGGGCCGCACATCTCGACTATTAAAATTCAATGGGAACGACATAAGAACTTTTTTTCATATTGATGAACTTCATCGGAAGCAGAACTTGGATCAGAGAGTGCATAATAGAGTGAGTGGGTTTTTGTCCCGGTAGTTTCACAATGAGCCACCTAAAGTTCTAAGTGTTTTGCCTGATATCCACTCTACCTGCTTACCTACTATAAGGTATACTGAAAAATCACGTGACCTTAAAATTCGTTCTTAAGAATCATGCAGAAAACTTTCTTAAACTCGCTTATATCGCTTATGGTTAAATTATAAAAGGCCTACTTTATTTTTTAGTAAAGTAATTTTATAATTACAAATTTAATCCGTTACTGTTCTCCAAAGAAGTTACTTTCTTTTGGGTATTTATATTTTTTTTTAAACAGACGCAATATTGTCAAATGTAATGAAAAGCTTTGAAAATTTAGTTTACACTGAATCTATTTCCTGGCCTTTTATGTTTGTGATATTAATGTCAAAATTATTTAAATTACGCAAAAGAATTGGAAAACATGCAAACAGGTGATGGGAAAGATAGCGGATA